GTAGCAGTCGTAGTAGTAGTAGCAGTAGTTTTTGTCACCCACTTGGCACGACCAGGTCAGCACTGCGGGGCCATAGTAGCAGTAGTAGTAGTAGTAGTAGCAGCAGCAGCAGCAGCAGCAGTAGTCGTCGTCGTCGTCGTGGTAGTGGTAGTGGTGGTAGTGGCAGTGGCAGTGGCAGTGGCAGTGGTAGTGGTAGTGGTAGCGGTGATCGTCGTCGTCGTCGTCGTTGTTGTTGAAGTTGTAGCAGTAGCCGTAGCAGTAGCAGTAGTAGTAGCAGTAGTAGTATTAGTAGTAGTAGTAGTAGTAGTAGTAGTCGTAGTAGTAGTAGTAGTAGTAGAAGCAGCAGTAGGAGGAGGAGGAGTAGTAGTAATTATTATTGGTATGATTATTAATGGTAGTAGAAATGATGGTAGTAATAGCAGCAGCGGCAGTAGAAGAGTTATTAGTACAAGAAGAAATAATTGTAGTACTGCAGTTGTCGTCGTCACACTGGTGGTGGTATAGCCTAAACTGCCGAAAGACTAGAAACCGGATTGTAAGGCGTGTGTTTGTCCGGTTCTGAGGACTTCGACCTATGGCCCGAAGCTTGAAACCAACGGACATGCAGCCCTTGAAGACCTCGAAAGCTGAAAGCTAGTCTTGCTTGTTCGCGCGGTATCATCTGAACATATGTTCCATTCGCTTCCTTCCTCCCTTGCTCGCTGACTCTCTCCAGAAAAGATTGCATTCAACAAAAAAATCTATAGGCGGTTTGCAAGTCTATCGCCGCCCTGGAAATCCCCGAGCCTGCTTTCTGAAGGCCCAGGAAACCACCCTATATCCAAGGAGCTTTGACGTCGTTGGAACCACATGGCGGCCCAAAGGCGTGGGGACCAATCCAGACTGGAGGGAGAGCCGCTACACACTCCGGAGCTTTCTGAACATCGTAGTTGTGCAGCCACAGCAAGAACAACTCTCTCTCTCTCTCTCTCTCCCTCCCTCCCTTTCTGCCGCATCCTAAACATCAGGAAGGCTTCGTAAGATGCAGCGAAATCCTCACGCTGCAAGCCATGCGCTCTGCCTCAGCAGCCGGCGTAGGTGTCTGACAGCGCTGGTCAAAGAACCTCACAGCAAGACCGGACACGTGCTGTTCACAGGTCATCCACGCTTCAATTGGCAAGTGTTTGTCTTACATCGGTGCTCCGATGGCAGCAGGTTGCATGCTCAGCCTGACAGAACCCACAGCCTTGCACAACTGTTCGATCTACCAATCCAAATTCCTTTGATCTTGCAGTGATGGTGCTCCTGGCTAATGGTGATCATAGTTATCATAATGACCACGCTGCTCTCGGGGACACAAGGGGCTACCCTGCTGTAGCTTTCAGCGGACTGGGCAGCTCCGTAAACATGATCATCCCCCGTTTTTCTTCTGCCATAAAGCATCTCAAAAGGAGCTCGAGCCTTCAGACTCAGACGAGTTGATCCTTGTGGCCATGGGGTAGCACAGCCAAGCAAACCACAAAGCCTATAAACTAGGCCTCTGAACTCCTGAACTCTATACGCCCGGAGTCCCTCGGTCCTCATGTGCGTCCCCAAGAGCAAGGCTAAATCAACCCGAGGAGCAGGATCTTGGCTGCCACCAGTCCCCTTGGCGGTGCTTCCTTCTCCTTGTCTCTGGCATGGAAAGGAGTACATCCATGACTCCCTGAGGTGTACTACTACTTCGATCTTGGGTCATCTCATCTTGACTCCGCTTCTCTCCCCGGCGGACACTGAAACCCAGCGAAAGGAACCAAAAATCCAAGAGAGTCAGGTCGCTGGAGACTCGCCGGCTTGTAGTCGGGGCTGTTCTTGGGGTCCCGGTGGTGGAGACATCCTTGTAGCGTCTTGAGCTTATGTACAGAGTGGGAGCTGCTTCAGCATGGAATCCACTGCAACCTACCGAAACCGCTCCGCTTTGCTGTGCTAGGCGTCGGCAGATGAGAGGATTGGGCCTCCAGGTACCATCCGGAACTTCATACGCCGACCAATCGCAGACACTAGAAGATCAGTCAATCTCGAACAACCCGCAGGTGTTCCTAGCCCTGAAGTTGGAAGAGCGCCAAACCCAACCACAGGTCATCGAAGAGAACGGGAAGTGCAGGGGGGCTCAGCCCCTAAGCTCAACCGCAACCTGGCACAACGATAAAAGAAAGTATCTTGGGCCATAAGCTCCACGAAAACCGTCCCAGCTGTCATACGCATGACTTTCACCGCCAGCACCAGGACCATCATCAGCATCAGCATCATCATCAGCATCATCCCCATGCCGTCCCCATCCCCATCCCACTCCTGCGGAGTCGCTTCACTACAGCATACGGGTCTG